CCGCAAGTGGATAGGCCCAAGAACGAAGCCGACCCCACGAGCAAGAGCTCGCTACGTCGAGAAGAAGCACGGCTAGCCCGGCGCGGCAGAGTGGCTCCAGAGCTGGGGGATGCTTCTGATCTGGCCCATCCTCCACCAGCGCCGAATGCACCTCAGGAGGACGGAGTCGAGTACCGTGTCTCCACTGAGGTGTGGACGCAGGCTAGCTTGCTTGTAGGCGAGCCGCCTTCCTTTGCCGTGCCGCCAGCTGCCCTGGAGTTGGAGGGCAATGGAGTTGCTCGCCACTTTCTGCATGCGTCGCGGCCCGAGGCGACGCAGCGAGTCAACGATTGCTACGCTCGCTGGGTCGCAAGAGTGGAGGTGTCCATTCTGACGGCGTCCAGAGTTGAGAAGGGGGAATGGGGGCCGTTCCAGGGACGGGCCCAGGGCTTTTCCTTATTCTGGCAGAAAGCGAGGGCCTCACCAGGCCGAGCCAACCTGGTAAACGGCCCCGCTGAATGGTGGGCGATGTCCACCACGCTCCTCAAGAGATATGTTTCCCTACGGATCTCAGGCAAAGATGAGAGACAACTAGGGCAGTGCATGAGCAAGCTGCGTAAGCAATGTGAGCAGCTTGACGGGCAAGACATGTCTGAATTTATAGGCAAAGACATGCAGGAGCTTGGCGGCACGACGATCGCGTGTTTATATGACCTCGGCCTCCAGTGTGAAGCCGATCTTCCAGCACTTGTCGAGGCTGCGGATAGACTCGCAGCTTGCGCGCACGCTCGAGGGATTGCCTCGTCTCGCCGCGCCTTTGAGTGCTGGGCGAAGGATCAGTGGAAAAAGAAGCCAGGCATCCTGCACCGACACGTTAAGCAAGACCCACCTGTCCCCCTGGAATCGCTTTACCCAGGGAAGGTCGTTTTGGATCCCACGGCCATCATGGCCGAGAAGCAGGCTGCGCGGCAGCAGAGGTGGACGGATCCTGTAGATACCCCAGCAGCCCTGCAAGAGGCCATCTCGGGAGCGCTCAGAAGGGCTGGCGAGGACACCTTGGACCGCATCGAGGCCTCCCACCTCTCCTCTCTCTGGTATCGGATCCCCGCCAAGAAAGCCCCAGGTATAGACGTTCTCCGAGTGGCCGACGTGCAGCGCTTGCCAGAGCAGGGAGTTGAAGAATTGGCCGCCCTTCTAAATCTCGTCGAATGTGAAGGAGTGTGGCCGCAACAGATTTTTGCTACGATTTCTGCTCTCTTGCCCAAACCAAATCAACGAGGCGACCGAAATATCGGCATGCTCTCGAATGTTATAAAAGTTTGGGGCCGAGTGAGATCGGGGCTGGTCGAGGCTTGGAGCTCAGGCCTTGACCAGTTCTGGGACACGGCTATCAAAGGCAACTCAGCGTTGCGAGCTGCATTGTTGCGCAGCTTGCTTGATGAGACAGCAGTGCTAGCAGGAGCCCAGGTAGCGACACTTCTGTTAGATATAGAAAAGTTCTATGATTCGCTGAGCCTGGTGATGCGAATCAAAACGGCGTCAGATGTCGGGTTCCCTGCCCTGATTGTAGCACTAGGGCCCCAGGTCTATTTAGCGCCCAGGTTTTTGAGGAGCCAAGGAGGAGCTAGTGGAGCTATTTACCCCACGCGCTCCTTCGTCGCTGGGTCCTGCCTGGGTGTGCCTCTCGCGAAACTGTTTCTGTTTCCGATTTTGGACCGTGCCCATCGGCAGGTCAAGGTTTGTAGGTTGTGGTCTTTTAACGACGATACGGTCTCGAGGGCCGAAGGCACTGCAGAGAGTGTAGCGGTTTCCTTGGCAGCCTCGGCGAGAGTGTTGACTGAAGGACTGCGTGATGCTCGGCTTGTCATCTCGGATAAGACAACGGTCTTGGCCTCATCGTCTCACGTCCGAGCTAGGATAAGTCAGCTGTTGAAGGCAGCCAAGGTCCCACATTCAGCCGAGACGTCAGCAGTCGATTTAGGGTGCGACGCCACTGTAGGAAAAGCTAGGATTCTCACACGAGCTAAGAGTAGGCTCGTCAAGGCCACCAAGAGGTTCCGTAGCATCAGGAAGCTGAGACGGCCGGCTAAATTATCGAAGATAGCGCAGTCGTTTTCGACCACAGGGGCCCTTCCCCAAGCGGTGTACGGGCACCAAGTGCACGGCGTGAGCCCGAGACAGATTCGGAACCTTAGGCGGCAGGCTGGCCAGGCTATCGCTGGAACGGGTTCGGGTCGATGTCTGACCACGGTGCTAGCCATGCACTTAGGGGCCAGAGACCCAGGTCTGGAGCTGCGCCGTCAGTTGGTCCTCGAGTGTTGTTTAGTTTGGAAGTCTTCGCCAGAGCTCCACGACCGTATCCGAGCGGCGTGGGAACATCTTACCCCTCGGCCCTGGCCGACCAAAACTCGGTGGAAAAGGGTGCGCGGGCCCGTCAGCGCGGTGGCCGTCACACTTTACGAGGCTGGATGGATACCGTCCTCCCCTGACTCGTGGCGTCGTCCAACTGAGAACGGGAGTGAGGCGTGGAGACTACCGTGCGCGAGCGAGGCTGGTTTCGAGCAGGGGGATGCTGATTTCATCGAATTGCTTGAAGACCTGGCCCAGGATTTTGCCTCCCAGTTTTGGACCCAGGCTGCTTCTCATTATGGTGGTGAGGGGTTGGAGCTTGGGGGAGGGGGGCGTTCTCTTGGCGAGCCGCGAAGTCCGCAATGTTTTAGCAAAGGAAGCTTGCGAGCTCATTGGCCTCCAGAGCGCGGCTGTGTCAGGAAGACAGTTCACCCGAGAAAGACAGGCGGCACTAGGGTATGAAGTAGCCACAGAATGTCCACGATGCCAGCATGGCACAGAGACTCTTTTCCATCGTGTGTGGGAGTGCCCCTGCAATGTTGGTTTTGAAGAATTTGAAAAGAGTGAGTGTATCAGACAGCAGGCTCAGGTGCAATGGGAGAGCTGCCCAATGCTGTGGCTCAGAGGAGTGCCGCCTAAGAGCTGCACCCATCTCACGGTTTTTCTTTTTCCGAAGAAAACCTTCGGTCCCTGGGGCTGCTCCCGATTTCTGAGGTCGAGCCGCATCCCAACTTTGGGTGTGCGGTTGTTTTCGGAGACAGATCGGGGGGGGCCCACAGTGCGGACCCGCGTAGACGTAGGTGTGGCACTGCGGTGATCGCCATGCAGCCTGACGGCCAAGGGGGCTTGGAGGCTGGCTTGGGGCTTTTCGACCCCTGTAGGGGGTCAGCGTCAGACGGTCCCGCGGGCGGAGCAGCTCGCGTTTGCCATCGCGTTAGAGCGTGTCCCCGGGCGGTTTCTGTTCGCGACGGACCACGAGCCCCTCGTGAAAGCACGGGGGAGAGGTCGGCAGTTCCATAAGAATGGCGCAAATCAAGATTTGTGGTCTAGAATTTGCGTGGCTTTCCTGGCTCGGTCGTCGGAGGCGAGTGAACCTGAAACGGATCCCCTCCCACATGGACGAAGCCGCCTCTCTCAGCGACCCGATCGGTCCTTACCTAATTCTGGGCAGCGCCCTGGCCGATGAGGAGGCGGGGGCGGCGGCTGGGAGAGGGTGGGCGGTGTCGGTGGCGGGGGGCGAGCCTCAGACTGACCACTGGGATGCTATCGGCACCCTAGTTAGAGCGCGCGCATGGCGCGCGTTGGCCTTGGCTGCGGAGGCGGACCCATGGAGTGGAGCGCGGGCCTCTGCGCAGCGAAGAGCCCCCCCTTCGAGGAGGCAGCTCGCGCTGCAGACCTCCAGCCACCGCTTCGAGCAAGCCAAGGGCTCCTGGAGGTGCAGTAAGTGTGATATCGTTGTGCCCGTGACCCGGCTTGTCGAAGCCGCCAAGACCCAGTGCCGAGGCCTCCCTGCCCTGGGAGTGGGGGCGACTGGCGGGGACTTGGCGGTTGGCATGGATGTGCACCCTCCCATGCCGTCCAGCGGTGGGAGCGGTATCTCATGAGTTTCTGCACCACCTGCGGCAGGTACGCCACGGTCGACGGACGCCACCTTGCGGCGAAATGCGAGGGCATGTCCCGCAAAGGTCGAGAGAATTTGAGCCGCATCGAGGGGGGGGCAAGTACCCCCGAAGAGAGGGGGTGCCGAAGCCCGCGCAAGCTGCCCTCGATGCGCGCGAACGCGGCGGCCTGGAGAGGCTGGTCGCTCGAGCTGCTGTGCCCGAGGGTGGGGGGGGGGGGGGGCCGCCCCCCCCGCTAGTTAACGGGCCCTCCCTTGGAGGGCTCGTTGGCCAGTGGGAGGTGCGGGGGTGCGGCGGTGAGGTGGGGTTCCGCCTGCACCAAAGCACCCCCGCGCGGGGTCCGCCCCCCCCCCCCCTTCCCCGCGCGACCCTGTGCTTGGTCAAAAGGTCCAAAAGGTCCTCCTCCTCCTCCCTCCTCCTCCTCCTCCTCCTCCCCCCCTCCTCCTCCTCCTCCTCCTCCTCCTCCTCCTCCTCCTCCTCCTCCTCCTCCTCCTCTCTCCTCCTCCCCCCCTCCTCCTCCTCCTCCTCCCCCTCCCCTCCTCCTCCTCCTCCTCCTCCTCCTCCTCCTCCTCCTCCTCCTCCTCCTCCTCCCTCCTCCCTCCTCCTCCTCCTCCCCCCCCCCTCCTCCCCCTCCTCATTCGAGGCGCCAAGTCTTGAGGAAGCCCCCAGGGAGGGGAACCCCTCGGGCTCAAAGTCGCCTCGTGGAGCTGGACAAAGTCTCGAGGAAACCTCCGGGGAGTGGAACGCGTCAGGCGCGGCTCGAAGGCGACTTCACCATCGATAGTGGGATAGTGGTTCGCCCGACTTCGATGACCAGCGGCCCCTGCTCGGCCACGGCCAAGTGCACGGCGAGCGCATGACTGCACAGCGCTGACTGCAACAAGCTGCCTCGAAACGGTCATGATCACGAACATACGGCGTGGCAGGCCTCGGATGGGGATCGGAAGCAGGAGGGGTGGCAGGCCTCAGACCCTGAGAGGACGACGGACAAGGCCATGCCCAAGCCTCGGCCTCTTACCAGGACGTCGGCACCGAGGCATGGCATGTAAGATAATGGCGGTCAGCGTGGCGGGCTGGGGCTCGCTCTTTTCTCAGCTGGAGGAGAAGCGCATCCCCGAGGACGCGCTGGCGGTGCTGACCCAGGAGCACCACCTCGACGAGGGCAGGATCGAGTCGACGCAGAAGGCGGCGAAGGCGCAGGGCTGGAAGGCCGACCTATACCTTGTTCGTCGCACGGGCAGTTGAGACGGCACCACTGGAGGCGTCGGGCTGCTGGCGCGACCGCACGTGGCGTTTTGTATGCTACGATTCGAGCGCGGCGGCACCCACGCAGCAGGCTATGTGCGGCAGGGCTTCCGGACTACCGACCGAGGCCCCAAGGAGGGCCTCGTCCTCTCTTCGCTGCACCTTCACACCGGCAATGACCTCTCGGGCACCAACTTGGACATCCTGTTCCAGATCGGCACCGTTGTCCACGCGGCAGGACGGCCGTCCATATTGGGAGGCGACTGGCAGCACCTCTCAGACTCATTCAACAGCGCGAGATGGCCCAAGTCTGTGAAGGGCAATGTGGTGGCCCCTGGCCAAGCCACGTGTTGCGCGGGTTCGAGTGCGAGGGTGGTCGGCAATTTCTGCGTAAAGCTTGAGTCGGGCACGCGCACCTATGACGGGCTGTCGGTGTCTCCACAAGGAAGTGATCCTCGACCTGGGCATGCAGCTGATCCCGCTCATGGCGCAGAAGGCCCACATGGCCAAGGCTTTCCCGTCGGGCCAGTTGATCAGGCCGCAGCTCCCCGCCGCGAGCCGGCAGGGGGCCCAGGTGTCAGCGGAGGCGGCCGCATCGAAGCAGGACCTGGATGCCACTTTCAGCATGCGGCTCGGGAGGTACGAGGACGAGCTCATCCAGCACCTCGGGGTTGATTAGTTTGAGCGACGCCGCGGGCGCGCGGGCGGTGTTCGGATCGCCAGCCCCACCCTCTTCATGCGCTGCCGCAGTCAGGCGAAGGGTCGGGGGGCCTCGGAGCCCTGCGAGAGCCACTGGCAGTGGCTTGCCCAACGCCTGCAGGAGTGGAGGTGGCGGCGAGAGGCGGTCAGGAGGAACGACTCGACCTATGGGCGACGTCGGTTTCGCGGCCTACTGCTCCGCCCCATGAAGTTCGCGATGCCGCGGAAGACGCGATGGCCCGAGATGCGGGAAGCATGGGGCCGCTGGTCCGGCGGCTGGATCAGCTAAGCGACGAGGGCCTGGACTTCGTGGGGCACGACGTCGAGGCCTGTGCTGATCGAATCCCCAGCCAGACCTCATCTCGCAGGTGCAAGGCCTGGGTCGACAGGCCCCGCGACTCCGCGTCGGGCGGCGGGCCGCGACGGGCTTCCGTTGGATAATGCAGGGCGCGCCGCGGGATCGCACCAGCTCCACTGCTGGACCTGGAGCAGCCGGGCCTCTTGCGGATAAGGCTAGAGGCGCCGTGGGGCCGCGGCGGAAGCCACGGGGCCGAGGCGAAGGGATCGAAGCAATCAGGTGGCCCAGCGACCTCGGCGAAGTCGAGGTTTCTTCCGTCGAGGAGATCAGGCAGGTTGGTGACGCGCTTTGCTCCGTCACAGGCCTCGGCTGCGACGCGGCGCGCCCGATGCGCATGCTCTTCCCGAAGGACGACGCCCTCCCGGCCCTCCGCGCGCCGTGGGGCGCCGCGCAGCAGACGGGGTTCGCGCCCGACGCGATGCGGATCATAGGGGGGGGGGGGGGGGGCGCTCCTGCCGGAGCCCAGCTGCGGCAGGCGCGCCGTCGGCATCTTCCACGGCGTGGCGCGCCCCCTGACTAGGTTATTTCGGTCTACGACGGGGGCGCGGTGGGCGGACCAAAACAAGCGTAGCGACATCTTCGGGCCGGAGGGCCAGAGCTGCGATGCGCGCACATGGGGGCAGGCTGCCGCAGGCGAGTGGGCCACGACCAACATGATGACGCGCCTGTCCGCCCTGCTCGACTTGTCCGAGGCGCGCGAGTACACTCGCTGGCGCGAGCTCCATTCGCGAGCGAGGGGCCTCAGCCTCAACGCGCGCCTGCTGAGGTTGCTGACCGCGCTGCGCTCGACGCCGCGGCTGCTGCCCCACGAAGGAGGTGCGATCGAGCTGCAGGCGCCGGGGCGCGGCGCTGTGGCAGGCTGTTATTTCGCCTGCCTCATGACGCGCAGCTTCCCCATTCTCATCCTGGGCGGCATGGCGATGATGCCGGGCATATCGGTCGGCAACGTGGTCGACGATACCCACGCGCAGGCGTCGGATGGGCGGATGGCGGCGGCGCGGCAGAGCGGCGCAGCGCGCCGCAAAGTCAGGGGCGAGCTGCAGGGAGGGGGGCCGTCGGTGAACGCATGGAAATGTAAGCTCGTGGGCAGTGACTTCGAAGCTGCCAAGGAGCTCGCCCGAAAGTTCCACTCGCTCGCGCAGGCGCGGGCTCGCTCGACAAGGGGCCCGGGCTGCGGCTTCGCCCGCGGCGGGCGCGTCGGCATGCCGGCGCGGCTAGGTCGCCCGGGCAAGGCGCAGAGGCGGCGCGTAAAACTCATAACGCTGCGCAAGGAGAGGGGCAGGTGCAAGCAGCTGGTCAGCCTGGGGCACGTCCCAGCCGGCACCTGAGGTGATGGGGATCCTTGGGAGACCCCGGAATGGAGTGATGGCCCTGCGCAGGGCCGCCAGAGCATCCATCGTACCCGGGCCAGACGTTCGCTCGCCATCGATCTCGCGCTGGCCCCTGGAGACCGCCGCCGTCGACCCCGCCTACCCGCGCGCGGCGAGTCCCATCGCGACGCTTGCTCAGGCCTTTGGCGCGTCTCCTTGGTCGTCCAGGGAATCCCTCAGTATAATTGTTGTTGCCGCCGACAAGGCTCTTCGAGGTGGCGAGAACCCTTGGGGCCGCGCGACGGGCCCAGCGTCGGCCGCGGGCGGGCGCAGGCAAAATATGCACGGCCGACGGGGCGTCGAGGCGCGGCTGCTCGATGAGGCCCTCTGCGAAGAGGGCTACCTGAATGGCCTGCCCCATGCTCCCTGCCGCGCTGCCCCCAAGGCTCTCCTCTCCCTGGGCCAAAGGGCGACTGGTTTTGCGTGCGCCGGGCTGCTGCACGGCTGCTAACGACTCGTGGGGAGATGAGCGGCTGCGCGGCGCGGGCTTGCGTGAGAGATCAGCGCGCTTCGCGTGCGGGGAGGGCCCCGGGGCTGCGGGTCACTGGCGATGGGGAGGTTGCGCATGCACTTGGGCCCATCGGCGTGACTATCTTGCCCCGCGTTGGCTTCTGGAGGGGCGAAGAACAATCCCGACTGGCCGCTCTGGTGCCGCGCTTTGGTGGCCGACCCCCCGTGCCTGGCTTCTTCGCCCCACTCTAGATTTGCTCGTGCGCTGGCTGGTCAGACCTGCCTCGGGCAGGTTCGAGGGGCCGCGTTTCGGGGGTGCTTCGCGTCGCGCGCGGACAGCCAGCGACCCTGGGCTGTGTGGAGTGGGCTGGGGGGTGGCCCAGGCCACTCCGAGTGGGCTCGAAGCGATCGCTTCGCTGCGCGGCCCCCTCCCCGGTTTAGATAAGGGCTCCGAGGTGGCCAATCATCTTGCGGTTCAGATGTGTTTTGATAGTGTTAGTCTCGGCCTGTATGAGCACCCCTTCAGACTGCGAGTGGGATGTCTCGAGCTTCTGCAAAGGCCGCGCTGAGACCGCGGGTGTCGTGAACGCGTGCGGTGACTTATGGGAGGGGGTGCGGGGCCACGTTTCGGACCTTTGGGGGCGAGGTGGCTGTCGCCGAGCTGCGAGGTCATGCGCGCGCGACTATGGCCGCGACGACAGCGCCAGGTGGCGTCGCCTCGGCAATAGAGCTGCCGACGAGTCGGCGCGCCGAGGCGCCCAGATGCACCCTGTGGATCCTGTCGCCCAGGAGCGGGTGGTCAAGTCCCACCAGCTGGTCCACTATGTTGACGAGTTCCTGGCCAGACGATCCGAGCTGCTGGGCCCAGGCTGTCGTCTGTCACCCGTCGTGAGGACGGGCTTCGGAAAAGGGGGCGACGAATCGCCCTTCGGCTCGCCGACAATGCTGCGCTTCCCGAGGACGCCCACGACCCTGTCTGGTCTTCTGAGGGTGGCTTCAGGTGCATCAGGTGCCTGAGGTGTGGCGGCACCGCTCAGACATTGAAAGCCGTTCGTTATAGATTTGTGTTTTTCCCGACCGTCGCCCCTTGATCGCGCCCCTCGGCACGAGGCCGTTGGCTGCTAGTCGCGCTGCACCCCCTGGCCCCGCCAATACAAAACTCTTCATTCGGGGGGTCATTCATTGCGGCAGGCAGGCGTGACGTACGCGCCACTGTCAATGCGCAAGGTCTCGGCCAGCCTTGCAAGGTACTCATCGGCCTCTTACCGAAGCTGAGAGGTAAGTTTTGTCCCGTCTGTCCAGGTGTCCAGGGGTCCCCCCCCGAGAGCGGAGGGTGTTTCCCTCAGATGTGAGCGTATTGACATGTGCCCAGGCCTGACCTGGTCTCCACGGGCATCTGAAGCTCATCTGAATCCTCCTCTCCTCCTCCTTTTCCTTCTCCTCCTCTTCCTCCTCCCCGTCCAGCGCAACCCACTCCGAGGGACGAGCCCTTCGGCCCAGGCACGCCCGCGCCCCCTTCTGCCGCCGCTGTTGCCGATACGCGCCTGGAATGCTGACCCTCATCGTTATGATCGTGGCCGCCTGCGTTCGTCCTCTTTCTCTTGGTGAGTGCCCCTCCTCTGCCCCGCCCTTCCGCTCATCCGTGGTGCCTGCACGCACGTGGGGCCCTTCCCCCCCTGTCCCACCGCAGGGCGGAGCTGCAGCTGCCAGACTGCTCAGACCTGCCCCAAGCATCTTGTCTTGTCTTGCCTCGTCGTGGATTGCCCTCCTGTTGTTCCACGGCAGCGTCAGCGGGGATCGGCTCGGGGGCGATCTGTCGACACCCGATCGCCCAGTTATCGTCGACATGGGGCCCGATGGCCCGTCCACCCCAGGAATCTGCGGATTCGGCATTGGAAGCCGATCGCAGATCTATCGGCGATGTATGATCGATTCCAAGTCGATATTTCTCCCCCGAAATTGGTCCCCCTAACATTATTCCCCTCTCATCTGTCGCCGCGCCGTTTGTTACGACGCGCGGCCTCACGTCTTGGGGAGGGCGCCTCGGCCACCAGGGGAAACTCCGCCTCGGACACAGAGTTTGCGGTGGGTTTGCCGCGGAGGCGACTCCGTTTCTTTGGCCGCGGGGCGCAGGGCTTGACGAGGATTTGCCGTGGTGTCGGCGTCGACCACTTGGGCGCGTCGAGATCAAACGGTGCGGCGACATCTGTTGCTCCGCCGACCCTGCTTTCCGGGGCGTTCCCCCCCGCGCCGAGGACGCTGAGCGCCCCTCCGTGCCCCAGTTGCCCCAGCCCGCGGAGCGCACCCTCCAGCCGATCGACACTTCCGGCCCCTGCCGCCCTCGTCCCAGGACTCGCGGCGCGGGCGGTGTTGCCGCATTGAGGCGGCCAACTCCCCAGAGATCCGACGCTCCAACAAAAATCAGACCGGCGGGTTTTTCGCGATGTTCGGCCTCGGGGGGCCCTTACCGGGCCCTGGGGCCGCCAAGAGAGGACTCGGGATGAAAAACTGGCCCCGGGGAAGTGGTCCAGACCTCCAGGGCCCACCCATCCCAAGAATTGGAGCGGCCAGATGTCTGGGTCCGGAACGCATCCACGTCCGCTTACCGTTAAAGGGCTTCGACGGTTGAAAGAGATGGGGCTCTGCGGGAATAGCGCCCCGAAGGACCAGCGGCCTCGAACAGTGAAGGCTCAGCATGCGATCCTTCTCCTATCCTTGGGGACCCGTCCCTCAGAGCCCCATCCTCGAATCGCCGAGGGTCGTGACCGACCCAGAACCCGGAGCAGCGGTGGATGTGGACTTTCGGGCGTCACGTAATTTGGGGGGGGGGGGGCCGGCGATTTGTAGATGGGGGGGGGGGGCAGCGAGGGCTGCAGGAAAGGGGCCCTTTAGGGCCCCTAAGTGGGCCCCTCGGTGCACAGAAGGAGGCCTTCAGGGCCCGTGAACTGCACCGTCCTTCCTGCCCCATGCGTTGCCCCACCAGTCCGCGACGCCCGAAACACCTGCCCGCTAGTGCGGACGGGAGGAGAGGTAGTAGGTTTGTTGTGTGTGGTCCGTTTTTGCTGGCGTTTTTGCAGCCTCCCGGGTGTTTCGGCCTTGGGCGTGTCTTCTAGCAGCTGCGCGTCGCCGATGACGTCCTCGGGGTGGAGATTCCATCCGATTTCCCGATTCCGATGCTAACTGATCGTGCAGGGGCAATTTTTGGTCCTAGATTGCCATGACAGAAAACGGGAACGGATTCGAGATACAGTGTGCGGTATTCGGCACGGTAGATGCGGCCAGTGTTGTGGCGTCCAGTATTGAGGTCGCGGCCGGTGCGGCATCGCCCGGTACGGTGGCTTCGGCCAATTCACGCGGTACGGTATGGACTAGTAGTGGTTGGTTGGTTTCCTGTACGGTGGTGGCCATCATGTTTTAGCGCAACAAATGTGCGCGGCGGTAGGGCGATAGATCAATGTTTGAATCACCCGTGATCCATGCGTATGATTGCTGCAAGCTTTAAAGACGAACGTGGGCGGCGCTAGGGCGGCGGCCCCATGCTGAAAGCTACTTATGCTCTGTTCAAGCCTTGAGTCGGGCATGTCCCTCTACAGGAGGATTACCCCAGTGCGACCCTACCTAGAAGTTGGAGCCCTTAGGAAAGCAGCATTAGTTGCTATGCTATGCTGTACCATGCCATGCTATGCTATGCTGCGCTATGCTATGCCATGTTATGCTATGATATGCTGCGCTATGTTATGCTATGACATGCTAAGCTATGATATGTCAGGCTGCGCTGTGATATGCTGTGCTATGCTAAGCTATGCTGCGCTGTGCTATGCTGTGATGTGCTATGCTGTGCTATGCTATGCTGCGCTATGCTATGCTATGCTGGGCTATGCTATGATATGATGTGCTGCACTGTGCTATGCTACGCTATGCTATGCTGTGCTCTGCTATGCTAAAGCTCAGCGATGCTAAGATGAAGGTCAGGTAAGATGAACCTGAGCTAAGATGAAGCTAAGCTAAGCTAAGATGAAATAAGTTAAGCTAAGATGAGATAAGCAACGCGAAGCTAACGGAACGTCTCGGGGGGAACCGCGGGGCGGATACTGGGGGAACCGCCCGGGGCGTGCCCCGCTGCCCGGCCCTTTAAGCTACGAGGTAAGAACCCTTCTAGGCAGAGCCTAGGTAGGGAAATATTCAAAAATAGTCATAACATAGTCTGGGGATGATTTTCCTGATATTGTTGAGCATGTTTTGACTACTTTTTTGCATGCTTTGGCTTCTGTCTTAATTTTGCATCACAAATCCGCCTGTAGGGGGAAATGCCCGACCTAACGCTAGGGCGACGGCCCCGTGTTGAAAACTATTCATGTCGGAGGTTGATCGACCTCCTAGCCTGACGCGTCGATTGGCGAACTGGCCGTTGCCGGGTCGCGAGAGGGCGTCGCGGCCATCATCTTTGCGGGTCCAGGTCCGTCGGTTTCGGTCCCAGGCCGTTTTCACGAAAGAATGGTTTACTCAAGGGAGGCTTGTCCACCGCCGATACAGGAGGGATCAGGGCCATCGGTTTCAGCGGCCCTTCGCGAGCTCCTGTCGTGTGTGCCGATGTGTTAAAGTTGTTAGAACAGCGCTCGTACATATCGGAATAGGTACACCCGTGCCAGGAGCGAAAGCACCATTCCTGCTCCTGCCAGCAGGTGTGCTGTCCATGCGCCCAGGGCCGGGAGGTCTGTCCACTGCCGGTTATGCTCTGCTCGAGCCTCGGGATGGTGAGGAGAGGCTCGGGCGAAGCGCCCGGCCCGCCCTGCGGGCACGCCTCGGGGTGCGGCACGGGGGGAGCGAAGCGTATGAAGGAGGGGAGGAGGAGAAGGAAGGGGACTTTGAGGAGGGGGGGAGGAGGAGGAGGAGGAGGAGGGACCAGGAGGGGAAGGATGAGGCGGAGGGATGAGCAGGAGGAGGAGGAGGAAGAAGAGGAGGAAGAGGGTGATGCGGAGGAGAACGAGCTGGAGGAGGAGGAGGAGGAGGAGAAAGCGGCGGAGGAGGAAGAGGAGGAGGAGGAGGAGGAAGAGGAGGAAGAGGAGCGAGGAGGAGCGGGAGCAGGTGGAGCAGGAGGATTCTCGGAGCTCGTGGGCCAAGAGATTCTGGGGACCGATGGGTGATATGATTATTTGGGTAGGCATGGCGAAGTGGGAGATTCGAGGCCCTCTAGCTTTTAACATGTGCAATGGCGACCCGTTGCTGCTTACAGCCACGCCGTACGTGCAGGTAGAGAAGTATTGTGTGCGTGACCTCTCAAAGACCTTCGTGGGCCAGAGCGTGTCCAGGCACCTGAAGGACTCGGAAACCTCACAGGGCTCTTAGTATTCCGGAACTTGGTTTGTGGACGGACCCTCCCTGGACCTTCTGGGCCAGTCAAACGCGCGATCGTGGTGCCCAAAAAGTTGTGACGGAGATTGTCTGTGGGCCGATTACACGATGGGAAGTATGAGGTCTCGCCCGCGTGCCCTTTTTTTGCAGATCCCCGGAGGGAGGAGCCGAGGGCACTGTATGGCACCGTTGCCTGTCCTGGCCTCGCCGGCCAGAGCGGCGAGGCCTCGAGTGCCGATGTTGCTCGGTCGGCTGCTGAAGCTGGACCTGACGATCCGCTTGACGCCAGTGTGTGGATGGCCCAGCCCGAGGGCATCGTGGACGCGATGCGGGACGGGCAGGTCAGATATGTCGACAGGTCGGGTGAAACTCAAGAGTTCAGCTTTCTGGGTAGGGGAACACTGCATTCTGATGGAAGCGGCCACGCGCCCACCCATGTGCATGTTGCCCGTGCAGGGTGGGCTGTCATCCCGATTGATGATTCAGGGGTATTGGAAAGAGCTGTATGTGGCAGCCTTCCTGGGCTCCTGCCTCAGAGCGCCGTGTTCGCCGGGAACCATGCCTTGTTTCGGGCCCTGGAGCATTTTGAAGTCTCTGAGGATCTCAAGCCTTTCCGGCTACGCGTCGACTGTCAGGCTCTTTTTGCAGGCCCCCGTCATCCGAGGGCAGCTACGAGTGGCAGAAGTCCGCTGAGCGAAGTCTGGAAAGTGCTCTACTCGAGATCCTAATTAGCCACCTTGGTCTTTAAGTAAGGTCAAATCCCACGTGGGAGCTGATGTTGTGGGAGTGGCTCGTCTTCATAAACTTGGTGATGATCTAGCAGGTGAATGTGGAATTGCTAGAGTTCAAGTGCACCCCGAAATGGCCCAGAGCATAGTCAAGTACGAGGTCGCTCTGAGTGGCTGGCTGGCCTTAGCTGTAGGTATCTGTGTGTGTGAATGCGTGTGTGTGTGAATGTGTGTGTGTGTGTAAAGTTCGAGATTGTCGTCCTAACGCCAAGGAGCTGTTTGGGAAGCTGGGGCGCGCAATCCCGGGTCCCGAGGCCGCTGGTCCTCCCCAGCTGCCGTAAGCCCCACCGTGTGCGCTGGAACGGGTGCCGGTGGCGTTGCCTAGATTGTGCTCGTCTTGTCGTCCCTCAGAACCCGAGGGGGGCGCGCGCGGCTTTAACCCCCGTCTGTGCGTTGCTCAAGTAAGGTCGACGGCCCCAGGCCCCACCCACACCCTGCATGCTGCCAAAAGTATTCAGTCTTCCCTGCCTGTGGTCTGTGCTTGAGGTGTGGGGCATACCGTACTGTGGCCCCTCGTCAGTTGCTGAAGCCCTGTGGTAAAGAACTTGCTCAGCAGAGGCGGCAGCTCCTTCGAGGCGACCTCCCCTGGCCGCGGGGCAGTAAGATCACGAGCCCTTGGCCCCTCAGTCTCGCGCCTCATGAGGAGGCGGAGTGGTGGCCCAGGCTGGTGTGAGTAGTTTGTTGTTTGTTTGCCCCCGCCCCTCCCTCGGTCCGAGGTCGGGCGGAGGATCGGCCCACCAGCCTGCGGGCGGTGGTTTAAGGGGCAGCTAGGCACCTGGGCCTCCTCCCTGCACCAGTAAGGCGGTCCTGGCCTTCGGGTTCCGTTCTACTGGTGCGGGGGGAGAGGTGGTCGATGGTGTTTGGGGGCCCCTCGGAGCAGCCCCTTCGATCATGGATTGGTGGGAGTCAAGAGAGAGCCATTGAAAAAGCAGGAGGAGGGGGAGCAGGAGGATCAAGCAGGAAGAGGAGCAGCATGGCCGTAGTGCACCCCCCGCGCGCGGCCGCAGGAGAAGAGCCCCACCAGGGATCGAAGAGCTCTACCTTGGGTCTGTTCAAGGCGGCGGGGGGGGGACAGTCTCGCTGCCGCTTTCGCTCCTGCTGCTCCTGCTACTCCACCCGAATCAAGATCTTCTGCCATTTTCGGCGTGTTGTGATCCTCGCCGGGCCCCGGGACTGTCAAATTACCCGAGACGCATGCAGCCATTTCTCCACGCAAGGCAACCGTTAATGAAAAGAGTGCTTAAGCGAACACATTGAAAGATACGCAGCCTTTTTGCCCAGGAGTATACCAACAGTTGTGCAGTTGGCAGCCTCGCCTGGAGCCGCGATGTCTCGTCTGGGTCCGCGTGACCCCCGCCTCTGCTGGACCTCCCACCTGAAGGCCCTCGGCCTTACTAATTGTTAGCAGCACATGTAAGTAGGTTATAAGTAAGTTGCAACTAGGTTGCAAGTAAGTTATAACCATTAGTAATGTTACTAAGTCGGCTAACTCGGGCGGTGCATTTGGAGGTAGATAGCTTGAGTTAGCGAAGTTGCTAACTTCGCTAACTTTTACATGCTTACGTGAAAACAGAGCTGCTGCATCGGGTTTTCCTTGGATGTTGCCTCCAGAAACGCATGCATGTGTTTGGATTTTCGGGATCACGCATATCGGAAATCATGATCCAGACTTGCGTGCGAACGCATTCAGAATATTGTATCGAGCGTTACAAGAATGTTGTGCATTGCAAATGCAACATATCATTTCGAATTCGCAACCCTCTGTTGCACATGTTTTTGAATGTCACTAGAGTTTGGGCTCCAGCCGTTTGGGCGAGGATTGCTGCTGGCGCTTGTGGCGTCCTCCTGCACGCGGCGTGATGAACGCCTCCCGTGAACAGCAGATCGCGGAGGTCCGCCCCAAGATGATGGCCATCAAGGACATGTACTTGCATCCTGATGCAGCGGTGGTCTCATTACTTGAAGACGTATGCAGCATTGCAAGAGGCATAGACTGCCTGAGGGTAGAAAAAATACACTCGAAGTATATGATGGTGTGCACAGAGAATCGTTACGGAGATGGAATCATTCCGAGCGAGGTTATGGATTTGATTTCCAAGATCTTCAAAAATGGATTCAAGAACTCAGCCCTCCAGAATCCAGCTTGCATGGAACTTCCACCAGTGGGCACGCCTGAGTACAATGCAATCAAGAACTTCAATTTCAAAATAATGGAGGACTCAGCGGGCCAGCTGCCGCAGTATGATTGCGATGCAAAGTTCGCATCCTATACGTGCGGCCACACATCCATGGGTTTGCGTTGCATCAACGCAGGGGTTCCAGTACCCACGGTCATGCCAGAGCGTTTCGACAGAATCTCGCACCAAGGGAAATTGTCACTGACGAGGTTACGGGAGGTTCAACCAGACTACGCTAAGGCGTGTGACGAAGGAATTGAGTGGAAGGTCTTTCGGTACGAGTTCGTGAAGGAGTTCCCGTGGATTAGTAATCTTGCTCAGGAGGCTGGCAATGCAGGCCAACAAATTGCCAGATGCGAATCTCGCATGAGTCTCATGTACAAGATCGCAGCAATTGCCAACCGACACCACACGGGTGGCACCATGATCGATTGGGATAGTGTGATCCGCGAGGCGACTCGCGCAGGCTCTCTCTTTCCTGGGGAGATCGATGGCTTAGTAAAATATGTGAAGGAGTTGTCTGGCGGCCTCGGCAACCCGATCTTTCTGAACGAGCTTCGCGACTTCTCGCGGCAGCTGACCTCCCAGTGCGTGGTCACGGGTTCAATGGCGAAGTCTCTCGCCGAGGTGCAGATCAAGCATGAGGGGGCCGCTGCGACATTCAAGCTCGCATGCATGAAGGCGATGACATGTGCGACGGGTAAGTTCGCGAGGGATGGCCATCAGATGCTTTTGAAGCCAGGCGACGTGACCGCCTTGTCGAGCGATAAGAAGTCTACGATTGTAATGGTGGCCGATGAATTTCTTCAGAAAGTGCGACAGATCGCATGCGGTGAGGGCATCACGGCAGACACGGTCGCCTACGGCACCATCGTGGGATTGACTGACGTTCGCGTAGTTCATTTCGTGTTCAACAAGCCCGATGAGCGCTTAGGCACTTGCAAGACGCTGAATGACATCGGGGTCAGCTTCACCACTGCGTTGGCAACGCACGTTGGCAAAGCAGTTGCTAGCCCATGGAAGCAGATCGGTCGCGAGGGCGCATCCAAAGCCGTGACAGGGCAGGCGCGTAGCTCAGATGTGAAAGAGCACACCGCTTCGGGCAAGTGGTCGAACCAAGTGGACAAGCTCAGTGACAAGGGGTTTGAGGTTGGCGCCAAAGTCGCCTTGGCGAGCGACACCTTGGGTGAGAACATTTACGAGCTGATCTCCATCGACGCTGCGACTGGCGTGAAGTTGAAGCTTCAGGCCACGGGCAGTGCGACATGCCACCCCATCGACGACTTCTTACGTGGCAAGTTCGTCGTGTCCACGATTATGAAGGACAGTTTTGCGACCTCGTCGCAATGCATGTGGAATGCATATACACCCCCACACCTTTGAATTCTCGTTCGTCGTTCCCTCATCTCATTTGGCTCTGCGTCGTCATGTCTCATCTTTTTTTTTTCCCGCTGCTCCCCCATAGAGGAAACGATCGACAAGTTCGCTGATCATGGCCCCCTCAAGTCTGTCGATTACCAGTGGGGTATCGAGGAGGCCAAAATCAGGCTGGCCTTGGATGATGTATACAGCCAGAACGGCAACTGTCTCAAGTACTTGAGTGGCGTGATTACGCCTGTTAAGCTTCGTGCTCTCACCGTAACGCGTTCGTTTGAGGCTGAAGAGCTGGTGCTTGTCCCACTCTCTTCGGCAATCTACTTGAAGAAGCAGACTGATATAGTTCAGTGTGGGCATGTGTTCATGAAGACATACAAGGACCCCAAGGGATTGACGTTCAATATCGTGTTGGCCCCCAGTGGTGGCATCAAGATGCCTAAGGCTGAGACGAACACTGGCGTTGGAGGGCTGAAGCAGGCACCGTCTTCGCTCGTCATCCCCTTCTGGCTCGTACAGGATTCAGGTGAGCACGGCACCCCCAACATGAAGCTCAAGACCGTCAAGTCTACAGCTGCCCCATCAGTGCATGTACCAATTTTGACAAACAAGTGCGCCATCAACAAGGGCGATGTCCTTAGCGCCCAGCTGGCATCGCTCATGCCCAAGCGCAAGGTAGACGATGTGCCTGCTGCGCCCGCGGCTAAGAAGGCCAGGAAGCGATGAGGCTCGCGTGTTGGCAGCATCGGTTACACATACCATGTGTCGTGGGGGGTGTTTATGAAATGTATGAAAGCATCGTCGGTATCGTTCCTCTGCAATCGTTGCATCATTGCGTCAACACGCATCGGACTCGTCTGCAATTGTCCATTGCATCGGCCCGCAGGCGTTTGGCTGTGTCCAAGCGAGTGCACGCTGCATCTGCGCACGCACTGCAGCTGCAGATGGCAGTGAGCGTGCAGCTCCGCACGGTCATCGAGGGGGGCGGCCTTAAGGATCGCGAGCCATGGGTCCCGAGGGCGGTGATGCATACGGCAGGGGGGCTCTTCGTGGAGCTGTCGAGAGCGGATAGGCAGCTGCAAAAATTTATATCTGTGCCCAACCCCGCCAAGAGCCAATCGCCTCTGGCGACAAATTCGTTTTTCGATCAGATCTTGAAGATGCGCAACGCCGCTTGCACCGAGGCCATTTGGGACCACTTGAAGCAGGCCGACCCATTGCTTCAGCAAGATTGCGACAGGGCCAGCGTCATTAAGAACAATAGGAGTTCCCTGGATATGTCGCAATCGTGGACGCTTCGCGTATTCCCACCAGGGGAGGAGGAAGGAGAGGAGGAGGATGATACATTGGATGATGAGGTGGAGTGGCGGGGGAGGGGGGCGAGGAGGAGGGGCTGAAACAGAGGGGGATGGTGGAGGAGAAATGGGAGGAGGGAAAGGGGGAGGAGGAAGGAGCATAAGGATGACAAAAAAAGGATGAGGAGGAGGAATAGGAGATGCCTTCATTCGCTTGCGTGAATAGGCCGCTCTTGGGCCACTCTTGGATCGATCTCTTGACCTTGAGACTTCTTGGGCAATCTTGGATCGCGTGATATCTTGGACAAACTTGGGCAATCTTGGGTCGCGTGATATCCATGCCTGCATGTTGAAGCATCGCGTGATATTGGGACATATCCGTGGACATCTTGAAGTATATATGAGCCCCTCTTGGAACCACCGTCCAGGCAAACCACTCCCCCAAGGGGATGAAGGGCGTAGAAGAGAACGCATTCTAGACATGTGCCCTAACGGGATGGTGGTCTACCAGAAACTGTCTCGATATATATGCCCGCAGTCCAGTGCGACCATGGTGATGAGCATTTGCATCACGATGCAGTTACCTTGAAGCTTCTGTTTGAGCTGAATGCTACTAAGAAGGTGTGGGTCGAATGTACGCCAACGGGGCTTGAGTACATACGGGTTGCATCTATCGCAGCAGCGGTTTCATGCAGTCAGGAGGCAACACATCGCTTGCGGTCAGCACCAGCAGGGGTGGAAGGTGTGAAATGCGACAAACGTCGCAGGACGGTGTTCATGGTGGTCGACGGCAAGCGTCTGCAGGAGCGAGTGGACGATTGGACTCCCACGTACATCAACAACGCAGCCCAATCCCTTCGTGATCGCTTAGATAACGAGGCACGTGATGAGGCTGAAGCTGATGGGTCCGAGGAGTACGATGACCCGCCAGTCGCAGCAGGCGATGGCTCGCCACCAGGCGATGGCCCGCCACCAGGCGATGGCTCGCCACCAGGCGATGGCTCGCCACCAGGCGATGGTTCGCCAGGCGATGGTTCGCCGCCAGGTGATGGTTCGCCAGGCGATGGTTCGCCACCAGGTGATGGGCCGCCCTCTGTTTTCACTCGCCGACGGGAGATGCGCCAGACGACGCTTAGCTTCCAGTAGCTCCACTCCCTCTTCGCCTTCCCACCTCCCCTTCCCTCTCCCTCCAATCTCTATTCTATTTTTGC